CAGCCTCTCTGGGCAGCCTGGCCCAGGGCTCTGGCACTCTCACAGCAAAGAAGTTCTTCCTGAGATTCCCATGGAACCTCCTGGGCTCCAGTTTGCACCCACTGCCCCTTGTCCTGTCACTGGACATCACTGCACAAAGCCTGGCTCTGTCCTCCTGACACTGCCCTGAACAGATTTGTGCCCATGGATGAGGTGGCCCCTCAGTCTCCTCTTCTCCAAGCCCAACAGCCCCAGCTCCCTCAGCCTTTCCTCAGCAGGGAGATGTTCCCCTCCCTCCAGCATCTCTGGGGCTCTGCCCTGGGCTCTTCCCAGCAGTTCCCTGTCCTTCTGGAACTGAGGGGCCCAGAACTGGACACTGTTCTGAGGCAGAGCTCACAGGGACAGCTCAGGAGCTGGGTAGCTGTAGCAATCCTCCTTTTCCATGGGCTGTATCCCTGAGGAGCCCTGAGGCAGAGCAGGGGGGGTTAAACCAGTTGGCCCCCAGCCATGGGCACAGCCTGGCTGCTCTCCGGGTGACGCCCAAGGCTGTTCTGTGTAAGCAGGAAATCTCCAGTTTCCACTGGGATAGCTCCAAGATGAGGTTAGGGCTGGCTAACGGGGCCAGCAGGTACCCCACAACCCCCAGAGGCAGCACCATCTCTCCTCCCTCCATCTCTGCCTTCCCCCTGCAGAGCCCAGGAGGAGCAACGAGAGCGGGGTCTGGAGGGCACCCAGCAATGCCCAGGGCTCCTTCTTACCCTCTCTCTGTCCTCCAGAGGCAGGTTGGAAGGTCCCAGGGTCTGGATGGAGCCGATGATTTTCCTCAGCTGAGGGTCACTGAAGTTGCTCCAGATGTTGCCATAGAGCTCCTTGGCTTTCATCCCCCACAGCTCCGTGAAGTTCTGCTCCTCCAGCGACGCCTTCACCTGGGTGGCCAGAGGGGACAGTGGGGGCTCAGGGGACCTGTCACCACCCCAGCCACGGCCTGGGGGGCTTTTTCAGAGCTGTGAGGATTTGTAGGAGCCAGAGGTGGCAGGCAGGGCTGTCCCCAGTCTGTGACATTCACAGGCAGAGACAGCCGTGTCCGTGTCAGCGGCCCCGCTCGCCCCTGGTGCTGCTGGTGGGCACTGCCAAGGTGGCCTTTGAGGACCTTTTGGAGGCAGCTCCTGGTTGTTGTGGCCTGGATGGGGTGGGGATGCTGGGATGGGGGTGTCCACACCACCAGGGTGGGGTGTCTGGGTGCTCCTGGGCTGCCTCTGGCAGCTGCCAGAGCCCAGTTGCAGAAGGAGCTCTGAGGTCTGGCTTTGATTTGTTCCTCTTCCTGACATTTCCCACCTCTGCAGAAGCCCAAAGGAAAACTCCAAAGATGTCACATTCACTTTTCTCCTTCCTTTACCTCCTTGCTGGCTCTAGACCTTGGGCTATCTGCAGCCAGTGCCAAGTGCCATAGCTGGGTTTCACCTGGCAGAGGGGCACCCATTTGCACTGAGCCCCCTCTTCTGGGTCTCTCATTGTCACCCATCTCCTGCCAGCCCCAATGTTCCTTCCCAAGGCTGTGGGATCCCAGGAGCTGCCTGCTCCATGGGGGGGCTATTTAGGCAGCTGGAGCCACAGCTGACAGCCACAGTTTTGGGACAGGGTGTGTTGTGGGTGCCTGCTGTATTTTCTGGAAATACTAATTTTTTGTGAGGGTCCCAGCCTGGACTATGCACAGGATGGAGGGAGAAGGTGCAGAAAGGGAGTTCACTGCCCATGGGCTGTCCCAGTGTGATTTATGGAGCTCATTAGCTGTTATTTGTGACATTTTTAGCCTGACTCCAACAAGCCTGGTTTGTTTTATTTTAATCTTCACATTCCCTCAGCTGGCAGTGGGGAGGGAAGGGAGTTATGGTGCCTGGAACAGGCTCCCAGGCAGCCAGGGGACATGGGGGTGGGGATGCCAGAAGTGCCAGGTGTCCCTGGCTGCCCGAGCACCCATCACCTCCCTCAGACCTCCCAGCACCCACATCACCTCTCTGGATACCAACCAGACCCCTGGCCCACTGGGATGCACCAGCCCCACAGACACCCTGTGCTGGAGCAAAGTGCTCTTGCAGCACCCCACTAAATGGAGGGTTTCTGCAGCCCTTGACAGACCCTGGAGCTGGAGGAGCTGTAGGAAGCAAAGTCCAGCTGTGTTTCATCTCCTCCTTGAGCAGGCACCAGTGTTTGGTCAGGGGAACTGAACCCTAAGCTCTCCTGACAGCTCTGGTGGAGTGAGCTGAGCCTGGTGGTGCTGCCCGAGACCCCCTCACCACGGCCATGCCCACCAGCCCTGGCCCTTCACCCCCACATCTGGGATTTCTCTCTCTGTGGGTGCCCCTTGAGGGGAGCTCAGAGGCCCCTGGACATCCTCCAGCTCTCCCTACCAAAGCTCCCCACCCTGGTCCCCCTCTGTTCCTGGCTGCACAGGATCCAGCAGTGTAGGATGAGGCCCAGAACACTGGGATGGCTCTGCCCTGAACACCTGGAGAAGTTCCACAGGTATGAGCAGCCTCTGAACTTCAAACCCCATCTCCAGGCTCTTGCCCAGACCCCCAGCTTGCAGGAGATGACATGTCTCCCTCTCCCATGGCTGGGCTCCCTATCTGTCATTCCAGCATCTCTCTGTCTGTCCCTGCCTGGCTGGGGGCTGCTGAGCCCTTCAGCCTCCTGCCTCCCCTCTCACTTGGTCCTGGGGTCACCTTTCATGGCTGGAGAAGCCCTCACCATGGTGGCCTGGCCCAGGCATTAGAGATGTGGGGTTTGCCTGGCCCAAAGGTTCTCTGGATCCCCCAAATTCAGCTTTTTGGGTGTTCTGGGCAGCTGATAACCCCTTAGTACTCAGAGTGTTCCCATCCCACCTCTGGTGGGGTAAGCTCAGGAGCCTCAGATGTTGAATCCTCTTCCTGGTCTGGCTGGAGAGCTTTGACATGGCAGGGAGAACCTGCCCGTGATCCTGGGGCATGTATTGAAACAGGGGAGGGAAAAGCCTCCTAAGAAAAGTCCATGGAAGTTGCTTTTCTGGTCCTAGCCCTGGGCTCGGTGTGGCTGGGATGCTCCTGCTCTACCCCAGGGTCCCTGCCTGCACAGCAACATCTGCAGCAGACACTGGGAACCTGCCCAGACGTGGCGTCAGCTCTCCAAGAAAAGGGCACTCGGGTGCTCTCGGGTGTCCTGCCAAGTTAAAAGCCTCCTAAGAAAAGTCCATGGAAGTTGCTTTTCTGGTCCTAGCCCTGGGCTCGGTGTGGCTGGGATGCTCCTGCTCTACCCCAGGGTCCCTGCCTGCACAGCAACATCTGCAGCAGACACTGGGAACCTGCCCAGACGTGGCGTCAGCTCTCCAAGAAAAGGGCACTCGGGTGCTCTCGGGTGTCCTGCCAAGTTGGCAGCAGCTGGTCCTGGCGAGGACCTTCCCCCCCTGCAGGAACACACGTTTCCT